TGTACCTGTGTACCTGTCTACCATCTTACTATCATATTATAACCAAGTCATTGCCATTGTTATTTTTTACTTATTATTCTTTTGGTACTTTAATTTGTGAATTTTATTTTGTCAATTTAAATCTAGTTATACTCTTGATCTTGTTAACAACCTATATCAGACCCTAGTGCAATTGCAAGTACCATTTTAATTTGTATTTTTATATTATAAGTTTATACCTAGTTGTACTTTAGCTCATTCTAGCTCAATACATAGACAACAAATTCATTATATTAGACCTTAGTGCAATTACAAGAGTGAGTCTGGTGCCACTTGTATTTTTTTTTTTTATAGTATTAGTTTATACCTAGTTGTACTTTAGCTCATTCTAGCACAACACATTGACAATATCAATTTCATTATGTTTATTAGTGACTATACTCTATATGACCAAAGTGCTTTAGCGGTATACTTATCCAAACTTCCCACCACTACAGAAATCAGTATTAGAACTCACCACATAATACAGGATATAAACAACCACTATTGAAACCTAAAAGATGAATGATCACGTTGACCCTGATCTAAACCTCCATAATCTAACACACAATCAAAACTTATTGGAAAGTAACTGCCTTTATTACACAGCATCACAAGCCAGCACTATCCTGAACACTGCTCAAAGTCTATCAGTTCTTAACTACAACATCAGGTCCTTAAGCAAACACTATGATGACCTCCTGGCACTCCTTGAGTCACTAAAGACACCCTTCTCCTGCATTATTCTTACTGAGACCTGGCTTAAGCAGGACACAATTGATATCTACCCACTACCAGGATACACAGCAATCCACAACTGCAGACCATACCAAATTGGGGGTGGTACTGCAATCTATTACTCTAACCAACTATCTTGTATTAGCACTAATTGCTTTAGTGATGAATATGGGGAATACATTTTTGCTAATTTTACTGTAAAAAACCTCAAGACGCCTATAACAATCGGTGCCATATACCGGATACCCCACACAAACATCCCAAACATCAGTGAGAATCTAAAGTCACTAATAACAAACAGACAAATGAACAAGCACCACCTTCTCTTAACTGGAGACTTCAATATCAACATTGGCCTATGTGGCATGCAAAGAGTACGTAACCTTTATTCGGCGCATGTACACACCCTCATTTACAGGCTATCTCCCCCAACCAGCGAACCAGGTTACTGAGAGTTGATGATGGGGCCCCATCGTTCAACTAGTGACCAGGTTCCAGCCAATAAGAAGATGGTTTTGGCAACTGCAGAGGTTATGTGGGTACCACTCTTCTGTCTGCCCTTGTCATTCCCATTCTAGAGCTGGTTGAAGCACGGTCTGCTATCTTGTGGCTTCTATTTCTGCCTTGCTTACCGTGGAGTGCACTAATAGCTATCGCTGTATATAGTGTACATATTGCTGTTCTAAATTGGTGAAGGATAATATAAATTAAAAATTTTTTGCTGTGTTTATTTTGCTCCCTTTACACCCAGGATAACAGGCCATTTGGACTCCTGGGTTGTAATAGCCTACCAGATGATCAGACTGTAACTGATTTCATCAACAATATAAACAACACACTCCTCATACCAATAATAACTAAACCAACCAGGCTGACTGAGACAAGTGCAACCATAATAGACCACATATGGACCAATATACTAGCCCCCCTTAAATCAGGGATAATCACAGACAGCACTACTGATCACTACCCAACCTTCCTCTTAACAAACATTAGTAAGCCACCACTCGAATACAACAAAGTTTTATTTAGACTCCATGACGAGGCCTCAATAAGGAATTTCACAGCAGACCTAGAGACTGTTGACTGGCCAACAGAATTCTCCAATGCCAATGGTATTGATGATTGGACAGACATTTTTCTTAACAAAATACTTAGACTAAACAACAAACATTGTCCTACAAAACGAAACAGATCACGAATAAACGGCTTGGTTGCCCATGGCTAACCAGCAGCATTCTGAAATCCATTGATAAGAAACACCAATATGAAAAGCAATATAGACAGGGCTTAATACACAAAGATATTCTTAAACAATATTCAACAGTTCTCACCAAATTAATAAAGAAAGCCAAACAACTGTACTACTCCAGCAGATTCACTGACACAAGAGGAGATATAAAAAAGACCTGGAAAACACTTTCCCAGATTCTGGGGACCCACAAACTGAAAAAAAACAAGAATATTGTTCTAACTAAACCTCCTGAAACACCACTGCATCCCATTGATACAGCTAACAAGATAAACGACTTCTTCTCAAACATAGGATCTAATCTCGCCAGTAAAATCCCATGTACCAATGCCAGTGCCGGGGACTACCTAGATGGGAATTTCCCAAATTCCTTCTATCTTGTACCAACTGAACCCACGAAAGTCACCGCGATCATAGTCACTTAAAAATAACTCGGGGAATCTGTCTCATGTTCCACCATTATTGTACAAGCGAGCGGCCCATGTCCTTTCGCATGCTATTACATTACTTTTTAACAAGTCACTAGAAACTAGCACTTTCCCGACACTACTCAAGACAGCAAGGGTTACACCAATACATAAAGGTGGTGACCCTACAGACGTAAACAACTATAGGCCAATATCAAACTTACCATTGCTATCCAAAATCTTCGAGAAACTCGTGCACAGGAGATTATATTCATTTATAACGTCACAAAACATACTCAACACCTGCCAATTTGGATTCAGGAAAAATAAAAGCACTAATGATGCAATTATAAAAATGCTAGACCTGCTTTACACAGCATTGGAAAATAAGGAATATCCGCTAGGAATTTTTATTGGCCTAAGAAAAGCATTTGACACAGTAGACCACGGCATCCTACTCCACAAACTTGACCACTATGGTATAAGAGGCCATGCGCTTGCATATTTTAAATCCTACCTTTCTAATAGGTATCAGTATGTCACCATTAAAGACACAGCCTCATCAATACGGCCACTTGATACTGGAGTTCCGCGGGGAAGTGTCCTTGGACCCCTGCTCTTCCTCATTTACATCAATGATCTTCCAAACATATCCCAACACCTGAAACCCATTCTCTTTGCTGACAATACGACTTATGTCATCTCCCACCCTAATCTTGCCACTCTCAACACCATTGTTAACGAGGAGCTGCTCAAAATATCGACTTGGATGACAGCCAATAAACTTACACTTAACACTGGCAAAACCTACTATATTATGTTTGGTAGCAGAGCAGGTGTTGTGCAACTTAACATTAAGATCGACAACACTCTAATTGCCAGACATAATGAGGGCAAATTCCTTGGCCTATACCTCAACAACAACCTAAATTTCAGCACCCATATCCAACACATAAAAAAAGTATCCAAAATGGTGGGGGATCCTCTCCAAGATACGATACTACGTGCCGCAAACTGCACTTCTCACACTATACCATTCACTTATATATCCATACCTCACCTATGCTATCTGTGCTTGGGGTTCAACTGCAGCAACACACCTAAGCCAATAATAACCCAACAAAAAGCCGCAGTAAGAATAATCACTAAATTCCATCCCTGGCAACACCCCCCCCCCCACTCTTCACAGATCTAAACTTACTCCCTGTTCAGAACATCCACACTTACTACTGTGCAATCTATATCTACAGGACCTTAAATTCCATATTAACCTTGACCTAAAATGTTCTCTTGATAGTTGTGACAGGATCCACAGGCATAACACCAGACACAAACATCTCTATGACATTCCCCGTGTTCGACTAAACCTTCACAAAAATTCAATGTATTTCAAAGGACCTAAAATCTGGAACACCCTACCTGAAAACTCTAGAACTGCAGACACATTCATCACTTTCAAAACTACAGTTAGAAAACATCTTATCTCCCTGATCCACCCCGACAACTAACTACATGATAACCACCTGGTGGTTCACAATTACACTCACTCACCCACTGGCTATAAACCCAGAAATACTAATCTTAATCTTAAAATAATAAATCCTAACTAGTCATAAGTTTGCCTACGATACTCCAATATAGACACTTTGTATTGTGCCAAAACAAAAGCATTCACATTGCTAAACTCACAAATTATGATGTAGTTAGTCACTTAGCCTTAATACCATAATCTGTAAGGATTTAATGTTAAGAATTAATCTAAGTCTGCTCGAAATGCCTAGCCAGGCTAGGTGTCCTAGTGGCCCCCTCTGTAATTAGTATTTTATAACATGTAAACCACACAATACCTAAAACCTGTAAACCCCACATTGTAACCCTTACAGAGAATAAACTTGAATTGAATTGAATTTAATTGAATTATCACTCACAAATGCCCAAACCATGAGAAAATATTAGCTTTTGCTTATGCCATGGATGCATTGTTGATGCACTGAGGTAGAGGAGCACAGATCATGAGGCATTTTCAGCACTATTCTCTGTGTTTCCAGTGTCACTTTTGGTTGCTTTTTTCTCAAATTCATAGAACTCCATTTCTGAATCACTATTGTCACTGTCGGAACTATCACCATCAAATAAATAGTTGATCTGCTTGGGAGTTAAGATTATCAGCTCAGTGTGCCATGGTGAACATGGTTAATTAACATGCTGTTCCCATGATTCATTGCGGCAGCCCCGATTTTTGTACACAGTGCACACCAACTGTACAGACCCGTTTTCTCGTGTCTCGGCCTTGCAGGCATCTCACATCAAATTTGAAGGTGCTAAGATCTACATAATCAACACTGTAGATCTATGTGACCAAAAGTTTAAGGGTTAGTAAGAAAGGTAATAATAATAATTAAGCACTCTGGGATAGAGACAAGACATTCACTCCCACTGTTTAGCAGCAAGGTATACACATGAACAGGTGGTTAAGAGCAGCAGGTGGTACAGAAAATAAGATAAAATAATAAGGAAGGTTTGGAAGACATTAAATTAAATTAGACAACCTGAAGAAAAATCACAAGAAAAAGCATATGTCTAACCTTAAATATTTCAATATTTGCCTCCACCAGTTTCTGTGCTAAATCTTCCTTCAGGCCACCATTTAAGCAACCAAGAGATTTTTCAAAACAGCACATCCCTGCAGCTGGTTTATAAATAATAATTAATAAATCATTTATGAAAAATAGGAAGTAAGTATCATAAAATATTGGGCATTAATATAACACAGTGGAACCTCAGTTTTCATCTTCAATTCATTCCAGAGAGTCTGGCGAAAACCGAATTAGATGAAAACTGAAGCAATATTTCCCATATGAAATAATTTAAATCAATTAATCCGTTCCAGACACCCAAAAATATTAAAAATAAAAATACATTTTATAGAATAACTATAGTTTTACATAAAGAAAACAATGAGAAATAAATATAAAGCACTAATGAAATGGATAAATAAACATTTAAATCACTTTTACCTTTATAGAAGACTCTTGTTGGCATATGGAAGACAGTGAGGAGGGGAGAGGGAGGAGAGGTTATTTCTACCACCATCACTACCACCATCACAACCACCTTCTACTACCATCACTATCACCCTCTACCACCATCACTACCACCATCACTACCACCCTCTACCACCATCATGACCACCCTCTACCACTATCACGACCACCCTCTACCACCATCACTACCACCCTCTACCACTATCACTACCACCCTCACTACCACTCTCTACCATCACTACCACCCTCTACCACCATCACTACCACCATCACTACCACCATCACTACCACCATCACTACCACCCTCTACCACCATCACTACCACTCTCTACCACCATCACTACCACCCTCTACCACCATCACTACCATCCTCTATCACCATTGAATTCTATCGTGTTTTTCACCTTCTTTATCAAAGGGCTAGCACTCAGAACTTTCTTTGGCCCCATGGTGGCTTATTTAGCAGTCGCACTGAATAAACAAGCACGAAAAACAATGGACTATTACGAAATGTTTCGTATGAATGCGCAGGGTAATGTTCATTCGACGAGAAACAAAAGCCAGATTGACTCAGGATGCGTGCATGGGATGCTTTGTGTGGGCGCGGGCAGACAGACACGTTCGGTACGGCAGACGAAAACCAAGGTGATGAACGAAGACTGGGACAATACACCTACCATCCGACTTACGACCTGCTCGACTTACGACCACTCGACTTACGACCGTGTTTTTTATGCCAAATTTCTGGGAAATAAACAACTATTTGTGTTGTACACAGTGTTTATCCTAAACCTTACAGTATAAAATACAGTATGTACTAACAGCATAAAAAGTAAAGTAAAACATGAAATACCAAAATAAAACAATAAAATAAAGTCATTACAAAAATGTTATGTTGATATTCAGTAGTAAAGTTCGACTTACGACCATTTCGACTTACGACCGGTTTCTCAGAACCGAACTTGGTCGTAAGTCGGATGGTAGGTGTATTTTGACAAAAATTGTCGTTGAAAACCAAATTCGATGAAAACCAGGGCAAACAAAATCTGAGGTTCCACTGTACTGTAAATAAAACATTACAAACTCTTAATTCAATATACAGTGGACCCCCGCATACCGGACGCATCGCATACCGTACAATCCGCATACCGCTCGCTTTTTTCGCAAAAATTTTGCCTCGCATACCGCCCAAAAACCCGCTCACCGCCCTTCCTCCGAGACGCGTCCAATGTGCGGCCTGAGCCACGCTCACATGTTCCGCCGGTGGCATTGTTTACCAGCCAGCCTCCGCGGTAACATCCAAGCATACAATCGGAACATTTCGTATTATTACAGTGTTTTTGGTGATTTTTTCTGGAAAATAAGTGACCATGGGCCCCAAGAAAGCTTCTAGTGCCAACCCTACAGCAATAAGGGTGAGAATTACTATAGAGATGAAGAAAAAGATCATTGATAAGTATGAAAGTGGAGTGCGTGTCTCCGAGCTGGCCAGGTTGTATAATAAACCCCAATCAACCATCGCAGCTGCTGCTGCACTGTCAGCTGCTGCTGCTGCTGTACCACCGTCAGCTGCTGCTGCACTGTCCTTCTCTTTGTGTGTAGGAAAATGTATATTTCATGTGGTAAAATTTTTTTTTCATACTTTTAGGTGTCTTGCACGGATTAATTTGATTTCCATTATTTCTTATGGGGAAAATTCATTCGCATACCGAACATTTCGCACGGATTAAGGTCGCTATGCGGGGGTCCACTGTATAATTGTTTAAGAAAACTGTATCTGTATTAATATTACTGCACTATTATTATTATTATTATTATTATTATTATTATTATTATTATTATTATTATTATTATTATGATGATGTTTTCTAACCACACTGGCTGTCCCCCACTGAGGCAGGATGACCCAAAAAAGAAGAAACACTTTTGCTATCACTCACTCTATCACTGTTTTGCACAGATATGTAGAAAATAAAATTCCGAGGCAAGAGCTACGTCCCAGCAGAGCCTGTCCACCTACATTGTATATTATTTAGTACAGTACTGTATTTACAGCCCATCAAATCATGAGTGGGAAAACAGGGCATTGGTACACAAGGCTCATGAACAAATAAGGAAATATAATAAATAAGAGTGAAACAATTCACATACATGAATGTAAGTGAAATGAGAATATAGAAGAAAATTTAACAGTTTAATATAAAATCTCTCTCTGTTTACATGGTAAATGACAAGCATTGAACACTGGTGTTGAGAGCATGCAATTCTATCAACCACAAATATTTTAAAAACTATATATTCTTATTCTCATTTCTTGTAATCATAATTCAACCCTAAAGAAACAGTTGTCTGCTCTTTTGTCCTATTTGTAACACCCTAATTTGTTGCTTGTATACCTTTAATGTTCTTATATATATCATCAAATAATAATTATTGCCATTGTAGTCTTAAGTTAGGCTTAGGTTTGCCCAAAATGCTCTGCATAATCATGGGCTTTCTGCATGCACAACCAAATGTCATCCATCTCTGTACAAACATCGTATCATGTGGAAATAAATCTTTGACTTGACTTTGACTTGACTTTGGGTTTGGACTTGGGCTTGACTACAATGTTTAAGTAACAAAGGAGTACATGGCAGCCATGGGTGTCAGTAGTAGCAACATGAGGATAAACTAAGTAAGCAATTTCATTAAGTTTAAGTCAATGAGTCTCAGGTTGGTCACACTTACAAATCCACACTTGCATCCTCAACTACAAGATCTTTATTTTTTAATTAGAGAGAATTTCAGTTCAAAGCATTCTGGTACAGTTTTCATTCAATATATTAATGATGAGAGAAAAGACCTTTTAAAAAACAAAGCAAGATGTCATTTTTTCTCATTACAGAGAGTATGTTTGAAAGATGAGGTGAATCATAGAACTGATGAAGGGATTAAGGTGGGTGGTGTAATAAGGCATCTGTGGTGATAACAATGTTACTCATGGAGACAAAAAGGGGAATGTATGAGAGTATAGTGATACAAACACACTTATAAGGGCGTGAAGCACGGGTTGTGAATGTTGCGGTGAGAAGGAAGGTGGAGGCAGCAGAGATGTCGTGTCTCAGGGCAAGTGTGATGTAACTATTATGCAGAGAATTCGTAGCTCGGAGATTAGGAGATGGTACAAAATTGCTAAAAGTATTATCCAGAGGGCTGGACAGGGTTTGGACATTTAGAGAGGATGGAGAAAAAGAGGGTGACTTGTAGGGTGCATAAATCTGTAGCAGAGGGAAGGCAAGGTAGGGGTCATCCAAGGAAAGGTTGGAGGGAGGGGTAAAGGAGGTTTTGTATGAAAGGGGATTAGACATCCAGCAGGCATATGTAAATGAGTTAAATAGGAGTGGAGGCAAATGGTTTTTAGGACTTGACGAGCTGTTGAAGGTAGCAACCTGTGAAGGGATTAAGGGAAACCAATTAGCTAGATTTGAGTCCTTAGGCAGGAAGTATAGTGCCTGCACTCTGAAGGAAGGGTGGGGATATTTACAGTTTGGAGGAGAATCTGAACTGTAGTATCAGCACATCTCTGGAAAGACAGTGGAGTGAATGATGGTGAAAGCATTTTTTTTTTTTTTAATTTCTGGTCATCCTACCTTGGTGAGAGATGGTCAGTGTGTTAAAAAAAAAAAGTATGAAAATGTTGAGATGCAGGACAAAAAAAAAAAAAGATGATGGAGAAAATCTGATAGCATGTCATTTATGTTTTTATTCATAAAACTTTAAATGGACTACACAGAAAATCAGCAACACAAGCAAAAAATAAATGTAGTAGGTTGCTTTCAAAATTGTCTAAAGGAAGAAATGTCAACTTTAACTGACAGTAGCAGAGCCATCTACTGATGGCAATTATAGAGCCTTCAGTAAAACTGACAGTTTAAGCAAACAAGAAACTGTATAAAATTGATGGTAGTGCTACAGTCTCTGGTTACCAGTCATAATACTACTGTATACTGCCACAAGACACTTCTGTTATGTAGATAAGTCAACACAACATTTGTCTGTTTAGAAAATAAAAGATCATTGTTTATTACAGTAACAGAAAGTTAGAACAAACTTTCTGAGTGCTCTAATACTTGGGATTTAGAATTTGAGAAATATTTTAGATTATACAGTACTTACAGAAATTAAGAGCTAAAATAATTTTATTTTGTTGAGAAAATACATTAGGGTCACAGAGGAAAGTTTACAGTATTTACAAAGCATATCAGGCACATTTAAGACTAATAACAATAATACATGTACAACATCAATTTTCCAGACCTCTGTTTTCAAGGCCTTTCTGGATTACTGATTTTTCCACCTTTAGAGAGGGCAGTATTCCTTGGTCTTGGGGTTGCATAAGTGACATACAGTTTGGTGGTAAATACACTGTCGCAAATCTGCATGGTTCCAGACCACCAGTGTCCAGAAAATCAATGTTGTACCTGTAATAATAATAATAATACTCAAGTAGTTGGTAAGTAGACAGCAACTGCCCAGGGAGGTACTACTGTCCTGCCAAGTGAATGTAAAACAGAAGCCTGTAATTATTTTACATGATGGTAGGATTGTTGGTGTCTTTTTTTCTGTCTCATAAACATGCAAGATTTCAGGTACGTCTTGCTACTTCTACTTACACTTAGGTCACACTACACATGCATGTACAAGCATATATATATACACACACACCCCTCTGGGTTTTCTGCTATTTTCT